AATTAAAATGCAATAATACAGATCCTGATCAAGTTTTGGGCACTGCAGATATAATTAGTTGAAATCATACTAGAGTAAGAAGAGACCTCAAATCCATTTCTAAAAGTCTTCATTTCTAACAAGATCCCAGTTGGTGCCAATGCTCCTGGTCCTTGGGCCACACTTTGGGTAGAAAATGTGCTAATTACCACTATGTTTATAGATAATTGGAAAATATGTTGGATGAAAAGAACATCACACAAATAGTAATGATTCTTGTACTGGGTAAATTAAAGCAGGTCAAGTGGTAGTAACAAATAAATGGTAGCATGAAAGTTAATGCCCTAAGTCTGTTCTGATAGCCAAACCATAATATGATCTCATACACTTCTAAGCTTCTATTTTCCTAATTTGTTTTTAAAACTTGATGGTTTCCTCTGCCCCCTGTGTTGGGGGTTGAGCCCAGGGGTACTTAACCACTGAGCTACATCCCCAGTCCTTTTTATTTCTTGAGACCCAGTCTCATCAAGTCTCATTAGGGCCTTGCTAAGTTTCTGAGGCTGGCTTTGAACTTATAATCTTTCTGCCTCAGCCTTCTGAACCTTAGGATTACAGGTGTGTGCCACTGTGCCTAACTATAACTTAAGTTTTTAAAATGTAATCTTTACATCTGCTATATAGGATGAAATGGATATTAATATTTCTAGCACATGGAGTACCAATAAATGTGTATCTTAATCCAATTTTATAGAGAGAAACTGAGCTTTAGAGAGGTTAACTATTAGTCAAGCAGAAGTTCAAACCCATACCTTCTGACTAACCTGCAAATCTTCCCACCCTATCAAACACTTGACTGCCATATGCCTTTCTGGGTTATAAATAATCTCCTTTTTATCTAGACTTCCCTGTCTTTTTAAGCATGTATATCACAGTCTATATACTTTTGATTTACTATATATTAGTGATTTTGAGAGGTAGCATATTAATATGCCACAAAAGATTTAAAAAATGAAACAAGATAATAAATTTCCCTATTCTTTCCTTTCATTTTTTCCTCTCAGAAAATGACTCAATTTTTTTGTTCAATACCTGCTCCACTCTTTACAAATAAGTTTTTTAAGAGTCTTATTCAGCCCATCTTTCCTCTCATGTACTTTTAATTAAGCTCACTCCTATCTAGATATTGTCTCTTGTAAAGCTCTTGTGTTTATGCCAGGGAGAAAGCGGGTAGTTGACAGATAGGTGAAGTTCTTCTGTTATTTCTGGGATCCTCTTCCTTTTGGATTTTATATGTAAGAATTGTTGAGGTTACTCCCCACTTAAATATTAGTTTCTCATACTTGATATGAACTAGGATTAAAGTGAAATCAGAACAGTGAAACCATTACCATCAGATAAACAAACTGCTCCACCCTAAACAGCTTTGGTTGCAGCATTAGGTGGAAATCAGTCACACTAATGACATTACTGCCAAGGGGCAATTCTTCCTCTTGATTCTAGTTATTAAATGGGTTAACAACACTAGAAGCTAAACATACCTACTTCTCCCTAGGTATCTAATGTACAAGGGTCTAATTAAAATCAAACTCAAAACATCAATAAACACTTTTAAAAGTTTTATTTCATCTTATAATCAGAAACAAATGTATTAAAATATAATCACCCCCAAAAGGATAGCAAACTATTGAACACTTTGTTCTAGGCACTGTCTTAGCTTTAAACTTCACAACAACCTTTAGATACTTTTACATCTTTTTCACAGGTAAGGAAACTGACTTTTAGGGAGGTTTAGTCACTAGCTCAAAGTTATAGAGTAGGTCAGCCAGAAATTTAAATCTAAGCAGTTGGACTCTAGGCCCAAGATCTTAAGCAATATTCTGTTCTATCTCCCAAGATGCCCATATGTTATATAGGTTTACACATAAATCTAGAGCTTCTTTTAATTAGCTCCTGTCATTAAAGTACAGAATGAGCAGGCATATCACCAACCTCAGGAATAGCTGGATCTGGGAATTTGAACACTGTCAGGATTCTCTTTCCATACTCATTGCTGGGTGTCAGACTCATTCTTTTAGATCAGCTTGTGGGGAATGTGGGTTGGTCAGTTTTGCATCATTGTGACCAAAATACCTGA